CCAGGCCTGTGAGACAGTTGTTCTCTGAGTCATAGCACCAGCAAGAAACTTTTCAAGAAACGTGTATATTTCAAAAGGGCTGAGAAAGAATCTGAATCACAAATTGTAATTACATTTCTGAAGAAAATGCTCTAAGAATATGGAAGTCAGAGGCCTGTAGTGAGGAGGAACCTGTGCAAAGGTGAGTGACTCTGAGGGAACACCAAGGCCCCCAGGTCATAAAAACTGCTTTCTGCACAGTGGAGGGAAACACAACTAAATCTCTTTTAGTCCAGACTCGTTCAATCTCCCAACAGTTCCTGCAATTTATAAAGGGGTACAAGTTACAAGCCATTTTAAACAGGTGCAAATAGCTAAGAGACCCTGAACAGAGCCAGGATCTGATCTCCCAGAAGGCTGTGCTTCCAATCCTATCTAATAATAGACTATCTAATAATAGACAAAGATTCAAATTGACCATACCTTCGCCACACCCACCATTGGCTATACAGAGCGATATGCAAATTAACCACCAACAAAGATGGCAGTTAATTTCCATATGTAGGCGCCAAGCAGAGCAGTGAGGGCTTGAAGGCAACTCCGGCCGGAGCAAAAGCCTGGGTCCCGGGTGCCGGAGAAAAACCGGTGCCGGCAGCCAAGGGAAGGGAAGGCCTATTGCAAGAATCTTTTAGTACAACAGGCCTTAATTGAGTCTATGGTGAGGGTTCCGTTAACAAGGAGGACAGAGTCATACAGCTGGTTCTCCCCTCTTCCTCTGTACCATGTAAAGGCTATACTATCCGGAGACAGCACACATGAGGGAGAAGCCCAGAAGGGCCTGTTAGACCAAGAGATAGAAATCAGTCTCCTTCTCCACCTCCTAAGCCAAAGACAAGGGCATGTGTGAATTCCCTGTTATCTGAGTGTCTCAATATCATCCTCTGGAGGTCAGAAGGAGATCTGCAGCCAATGTCAGGTGCTTCACCAGTGATGCTGACCAAGCACCAGAGGGTGGGAGCTGATGCTGAGCCCTGGACAGAGGTGGGCTCTGACCTGCAGGCTGAGAGACAAGTTAGGACCCAATCACTGTGGGTTCCCAGCCTCCTGACTCCATCCCAGGACAGGGTAAGCCCAGTGAGACAGGCACTGTCAAGTATTATGAGTTGAGTGTCAGAAGAACTGTCCTCCCAGGGGGATGTACTAAGGCAGGAGGAGCTTTCTGCCCCCAAGGTTTCACAGAAAGGTCCTGATGAGGGTTCTCCTGAGGCTTTTGGGAGAGGGTGCCAACCTAGGGGGCTGGTCCCCAGAAAGCTGTGTGTGTTTCCCATCATAGCTTTGGGACGTTGCATCCAAGTCATCTGTGTCCCTGTCAGTCATCTGCTCTAGGCCTCTCCAAGGGGCCCAGGATCTGGAGCAGCTCCACATGGAGACTAAACCAGGGCATCTTGTAAGTTCCTCTGTTAGGGGAGGGGAGGCCCCTGTGGGACACTCAGCCCCTCTGAAATGAAAGCAACCATGGATCCTGGGTTCTCCTGTACCATCCTGCACAGGAAGTGCCATTTCTTCCCCCAAACACCATGGGCTGGTGAGATGTCTTCAGGGACCACAGCCAGCTGTATCAGCCCCACCTTTGGGGTGGGGACTCATCTTCTGGTATTCTGAGGGCTGATGGGCTGCCTTTCTCTACCTGGGGCAGAGAATCCAGAGCAGTCTGCCAGGCTGCTGCTCAGGCCTGAGGAATATGAAATGTCATTCACAGGTGGACATGGGCAGGGCTATGATTTTTCTGAGAATGAAGTGGGGCTGGCCCCTTATAGTCAGGTTCCTATCCTACCTCCTGGCTGTAAGTTGGGTAAAGAACTGATCCTGGGCCCTAACCGGTTTGGCTCAGTGGATAGAGCTTCAGCCTGCAGACTCAAGGATCCCGGGTTCAGTTCTGGTCAAGGGCATGTACCTCGGTTGTGGGCACATCCCCAGTAGGGGGTGTGCAGGAGGCAGCTGATTGTTGTTCCTCTCTCATTGATGTTTCTAGCTCTCTATCCCTCTCCCTTCCTCTCTGTAAAAAAAATCAATGAAATATATATTTTTAAAAAAAAAAAAACTGATCCTAGGACATCCCTGGGCACTTGAGGCCTCCTCCCAAGCTGACACCAATACCTTCATGTCTATTAGGAACAGGATTCCACTGTGTGGTTTCCCTCATCCATCTAATGAGTGTTTACTGAGCATCTGTGGAGTTTCCAGAGCCTGGGAACTCCACAAAGAGCAAGCCATACATGGGTCCTGCACTCATGTATATTTAGCTGTAATATTAATGTAGTTGAGGAAGGAGGCAATTACCATGTTTACCTACGTTACCATCTTGACTGGAAGTGCCCCCAATTTAGGTTTATTCCAGTTGGGTACTGGAAGGAGGTGTGAAAAAGATCCACCTGCTCTGCTGCAATTTTGAAAGTCTCATTAGTTCTTCATTTGCTATCACTCCCCAGACCAGAATATATACCTGTGAGCTGAGGAAGCCTAATGGTTGGCCTTGGGATCCACAGACACCTAACAGGGCCCTGGGGTGGAGGAGAGGACAGGGCTCTGGCTGCAGACAGACCTCAGGTGACTCTGATCAGCTGCTCATGGTCTGTGGGACTCTGCTTTAGTGCCTGTACCTCCCTGTGCCTTGGTTTCCCCTCAATGAAGTACCATGAATACTTGGCTGTGGGTTGTCAGTGTGTTCACTGTAAAATATTCACAGTATCTGACTAAACCCTTGGGATAGGGAAGCTGCTCGAATAGGAGGCATCTGTTATTGATCAACTTCAAGAAAGAGCTGCCTCGAACAGACTGTAAAACTACTGCAGGAAGGCCAGGGAGGGGTGCAATAACTGACTAAACATTGGGACAGGCGAGCTGCTCAAATGAGGGGATTCTGATATTGTTCAACACCAAGAGAGAATCTCCTGGGCTGATACCTGGTGGATGAGGAGCTGCCAGGAGCATCTTTTCTCCTCTCACTCGACTCTCCTAAAGCCCCCAGGGCAGTCAGCTAGTGATCCAAGGTTGTGTAGTCACTGTTGATAAAGATGAATCCTTTAAAAATGGTGCTAGGACAGTATGTGCAAGGAAATGTTAGGGTCCTCCTCACTGGGGGGGGACTATGATATTCACCTGGCCTCAATGGTTCACACCACAAATTACTTATCAATTAGTCCAAAATGCAACAATGTGGCATTACAATCCCAGTGTAATGCATGGACTTCTTCTTTTTTGGCATTTTAAGATGGTCCATTGTCTGATGATACACTCAGTCGGACGAGGTACAAATTGTCTCGCTGCAGCTCTATTTCCATGCTCTTTTGCATTGCTGATTACATTCAGTTTGAATTTTGCAAGCAAGACAATTGCTTAGCAGTATTTAATCTTTTTATTTTTTGACATCTTTATGGGCTCAGAAGCTCTGGTCCCTGTTGCTTCTGCACACTCTCCAGCTCCACCTCCAATTACGGCATCAGCTGATGTCAGTAACAATAAGGCTCGTGACTGGAGGAAGACTGTTTGACAAGGTACGGGCAGTTACACACCTGCGCACCTGTGTGGCTCTCTCATCGGCTGACTTCCATGTATTAGAGGCCCTTCAAAAAAATAGCGTCTTATTCATAGAAAAATACGGTAGACTTTCTGTATCCCAAGCAACCAGGACAAAGTTCTGGCACAAAGATCAGCCTCAGTAAATATTTGTTGACTAAAACAAGACATTTAATGGATGACCTGTGACCCTGTGTGCCTCTTTGCCCACCTTCTTTTCCCTCTTCCTCTAGGGACCCTGCTTGAGGCCATGCACAACTTCAGAGGGCGCCATTCACACAGCAACAATGTGAATCGTTTTGGAGGAAGTGGTGTTTCAAAAGTGCACAACCTATATAAATGTACTGATGGCTCTGTTGCTATCTTTCCCTCCTCTCCATTCATTCATTCATTCACTCAATCGAAAACATCTATTGAGCACTCATGTTATGCAGAGTTAGTGGTACAGACACAGTAGGAGAGAAGAGAAACACCTCTCTGAATGTGTGGCAAATTTGAAACTTGCAAACAAAAGAAAAATAGAATGAATAAAAATGTCAAAAATAAGCAGACCATTATGAATTACACATTCATTTCTCTTTCTCCTCTGCTATTGTTCTCAGCCTTTCTTTTCAAACTTTGCAACCTCTGCAGTTACTGAAGGATGCCCCATACCCTTTCCCTCTCCCTCCAACGCAGTGGGCTAGAGCTGATTTGTAGACACCTGCAAACCTGATTATTAAATATTTAGGGATTTGGCAAGCTGATTGTCAAACTGTGCATGGCTTCAAAATCAGACGTGGTGGGAGCCTTTGTGCCACAGTAATGGGCCAACATTATGAGATGGGGTTTGTTGATGCTGTTTTTCCAAAAAGCTGGTTTTATAGCACACCACTGTTCCCATCTGTTTCTAGCAGAAAAACATTGCTTTGTCAAAGAATATTCTGGTTCTTCCATAGCTATTCAATTCCCCCTGCCATACCTCAGCCCCCTGCTGGGTGGCAGGAACTGGAGACTCTAAGCCTGCGTTGTGGAAGGAGGGGAGAGAGCAGAGGATGATGAAAGATAAGTAAAAGAAGAAAAAGAGAAAGCATGAGGGAAGTTCATGAAATGGGGTATTTTTAAAAAGCAATATTTGAAGGAAAGAGAAAGAAAAGAGAAGTAGGTATCTGTGGAGGGGCAGGGGTTAGGGTAGAAAAAACATAGAGAACAGCCAAGACCCATCACACATTGTCCTCACAGGAAGTTGAGCCATTCCCCACCTGGGGCCAGAAGGTGGCAAGGTTGCCAGGAGAAATGAGGAAACTACCTTCGCAAACTACCCTGAAACAGTGTGGGGGTGGATCCACACCAGTGGAGGCTGGGGTCAGGGTGCCTCAGTTTTTAACTGTAGCGGGGGTCTGGGAGCCTGCACAACTGGGTCAGAGGGAGGAGAGAGACCTTAACTCCTGGGTCACAAAGAGGAGGAAGAACTTGGGTTTCTGGCCTTTAAAGTTGGTGAGACTCAGAGTGTGGGCCCAGGCCTTCTTTAGCAAGGCCCTCCAGTCCCCACCCTTTCCTGGCTGCCCTGGGTGAAGAGAGACATAAAAGGGCTCTGTTTCCTGGAGGAAGAGCAGGAGCAAGAGAATTCTAGCTGCCCCGACCATGAGCTCCATCCTGCTGCCAGCCCTCCTAGGCCTCACCTTCATGCTGCCCCGTGAGTGAAAACCCTAACTTGGGAGGGTATTTCCTGGGAGGATGGGCTAAGATGGATTTTTTGTTCCCACTTCAGCAATGGAGGCCCTGACCTGTCAGGCAGGAATATGGGAAGCTGTGAAGAAAACATCAGAAATGCCCTTGAGGTGGACAGCTGAAGAGGAGTCCTGCAAGGAAGGGTGGGGTTGCCAAGATTCGCTGATGCTCATTGAGAATGGTGAGAAAGGCCCCAAAGGCCCCAAGCCTAACCCCACCTTCACCTGCACAGTGTTATCCTTCCTCCTGACCAGCAGTCTCCAAAGACTCAGCTCCCCTCATGCCAGGAGCTGTCCCCTCCCCAGCAGGAGCAAGCCCTCAGGGGCCCAGTTGCTTCCTCTCCAGCCTCTCCCCCAGCCACGACGAAGACTCTCCCTCTAGCACCCTGGAGTCCAGATCCTCACCTGGCCTGCCTCCTTCTTCATCTAGGACCCCAAGTGTTCTTAGAGCTCAGCAAGGGCTGTACCCAGGAGGAGGATCATGAAGCCCGTATCACCCAGCACAGGAAAAGCCCTGGCCTCTCTGTCGTCTCCTACACCCGTGTGTGCCGCCACAAGAACCTCTGCAATGATCTCTCCTCCACCCGCCCTGTCTGGACCTTGCCCACCTTTGCAGGTGTGAACAAGGAGTGGGAGGAGGAGGAGCAGGAGAGGACAAGAGAGAGGGGAGGAGGAAAGCACAGAAGGGCTGTTCATTTAGAACCCCTCCCTCCTATCTGGCCTGTGCACACTTCCCAGGACTTCCGCCCCTGACATAGCTTCTTCTAACAATACTGGGGCAGGAAACTGGATTGCTCTTCTGAGTTCAGCCCCACCTCAAATTCTGACGATAGCCTGAACCTGGGCCATGCTCCTTTCTCTACACTGTTGAGCTTGGCTCACTCATGATTCATTTAGGATTTGGGTTTATGCTCTTAAAGTGAGATTGGCCTATAGCTCTCCAGTGTCCTTTTCTATACTATAAACTGTATTGGAGTGGGTGGGGGGTGTGCTTCATGATTCTCTACTCTTTAGGGCACCTTGTCTGCTTGGATTACGTAGTGGAAGTTGTGGGTGAAAGCTACCATCGATCTTGCAAGGTCCCCTGTCTTATCTGAGTCACCACTGACTCTCCCAGGTCTCATGCCCACCCCTTGCTCTCAGCAACCACTCCACTGCAATTTCCAGCACCCCAGATCTGCATGAGACTGAGAAGGTTGATGATGGGGCCACAAAAGCAAAGACGATAGAAGGCACTGGATCCAAATGCAGAGCCAACTAAATCCTCCTTTTTTCCCTCTTCCCTCCCAGTCCCAGGGTCAGTGCGGTGCCCAGTCTGCTTTTCTGAGGAAGGCTGTAAATCTGCAACAGAGCTGACCTGCCCCATTGGGAACACACACTGCTACAATGGGGTCCTGCAGCTCAGGGGAAGTAAGCTGGGACATCTGGGTCCCTGCTGGCCCTGAGGGTAGCTGAGGGCTGGGGCTCAAAGGAGAGTGGGCTTGATCCTCAGGGTTGGAAGGCCCCAGTGGTGGCATCTCACTCTCCCCCACTCTGCCTGGCCCCTTTCCACAGTTGGCATCCACACCAATCTGAAAGTCCAGGGGTGCATGTCCCAAGCAGCCTGCAACCTGCTGAATGAGACTCAGGAAATCGGGGCCTTGTCTGTGCGTGAAAAGTGTGATTCAGATGGTGAGTCCCATGTCTGGAAGGTGAGGCTGTACCCACCCTTCGGCCTTGGTGTAAAATGACCCTTGTGAAAGTCAGACATACAAACACATCCCACAAACTCCAACAGCCACAAATAATTTAGAAATTTATTACATATTTGGGCATGCACAAAGTGAGGGATTGTCCTGGGAGATGCCCATGGGTGAGCATGACTTTAAGAGGTGTCCAGCTGAAGGGAAAGACAGGCCCAGGGGGCGGACATAGGACAGGGTGGGTGGGCCGGCTGTGTTGCCTTTCACTTTATCCATTGGGTGTGGAAGTGAGTGCACAGTGTATGCTTCTCATGCTGGGAGTGATTCATTGCCGTTATTTCTATTTCTCAACACTCTTGACCTTGTGTAGCCCTAGTTCCTTCCCCTTCCTTCTTGCAAGAGCCAAGGAAGGACACTGGGCGGGTCCCCACTCACCCACACAAGCCCAGCGCTTACCAGTACACCTGACTGAGACAGAGACTGGCCTGGAGAACCACAATGAGAAGGACCAATGACAGGGAGGAGAGTGGTAAGAGGGCATTCCCTCTCTGAGACTCAGTTTCCTCATCCACCCACAGCACCCAGTCCTTAAAGCCTCAAGGTGAGAGTTCAGTGAATGCAGCAACATCCTCTGTGTGCTTGGATCTCTCTGACTAGACTGGGAGCCTTGAGGACAGGGCCTGGATGTCACTGACACCAAGGATTCTAGCCTGAGGCAACACAAGGGCTGGCTCAGGATGTGAAGTGAGCATGTACAGGATTCCAAGGTCTCTGGTGGAGACTACAGAGGACTGAGACCCTAACCCTGCCCTAAAGGGCCTCCAGGACAAGGAGGGGAGACATTACTGTTTCAGATGGTCACGGGTCTGCAGTGAAAGGGGTTGGAGAAGATCTGAGAGGGAAGGTCCTAATACCCTGTGGGTAGGGTGTCAAGGAGGGCTTCACATAGGAGGTAAACTGAAAGACTAGCTACAGTCTATTAGTAGAAGAGGAAAAGGACATTAATAGGCAGAGGAAACAGCCTGTGCAAAGGCCCAGCTATGGGAATAAACCCACTATTTTCTATAAGGCCTCCCTGGCTGTACCAGAATAAGTCACATCAAGAGGATGTGACCTTGGACTGCGCAGTGGAAGTGTAGCTGGAACTGGGGGGTGATTGCCAGTTTTTCAGGTAGACAAGGTAGATGTGGGTGACCTCTGCTATTCCAAGCAGAAGGAACAGTGGTGCAAGGCCAAGGAGGCAGGAAATGGTCTGGAGTGTCTTTGGAATAGATATTGGGACGGGGAATGAAGAGAGAGATAGGGAGCCTGGTGGTGGGTCAAGTGGCCACAAAACCAGACTGAGGGATTAGTCTTTCTCCTGAGGCACAAGAGCCATGGAAGGGTGTTGAACAGGGAAGAACAATCTGAGTCTCTCCTTTTGATTAGTTCTGTTTAATTGTCTGGCCCTCAGTTCTGGGAGTAGGTAACCTTCATTTTCCAGAAGGCATTCCAAAAAATAAACAAATTTAACACATACCACACAGACACAGCACAGAATACACACAACAGACAGAACCTCACTCACCATACCACATGCACATCACACACGACATGAGAAAACAGAAGTAGGCATCTGTGGTGGGGTAAAGGTTAGCCTAGAAAAAAACATAGGAACCAGCCAAGACCCATCAGACATTGTCCTCACAGGCAGTTGAGCCATTTCCCCACTTGGGACCAGAAGATCCCCAGGTTGCCAAAGGAAATGAGAAAAATACCTTCCAAAATTACCCGGCAAGAGTGTTGAGGGTGGGGATCCAGACCAGTGGAGCCTGAGGTCAGGATGCTTCAGTTGTTAACTGTAGAGGGGTTGGGAGCCTGGACAACTGGGGCAGAGGGAAGAGAGGAGCCTTGACTCCTAGGTCTGAGGGAGGAGGAAGGACTCGGGTTCTGGCCTTTAAAGTTGGTGAGACTCAGAGTGTGGGCTCAGACTTTCTTGCTAAAGAAGGCCCTCCGCTCCCCACCCTTTCCTGGCTGCCCTGGGTGAAGAGAGACATAAAAGGACTCCCTTTCCTGGGAGAAGAGCAAGAGCAAGAGAATTCTAGCTGCCCTGATCATGAGCTCCATCCTGCTGCCGGCCCTCCTGGGCCTAATGGATTGCTGTTCCCACCTCAGGAGTGAAGGCCCTGACCTGTGAGTTTGGAAGACTGACAATTGTGAGGAAAGCATCAGAACTGCCCGTGAGGTGGACAACTGGCCAGGAGTCCTGCAAGGAAGGCTGGGGTTGCCAAGATTCGTTGATGCTCATTGAGAATGGTGAGAAAGGCCCCAAAGGCCCCAAGCCTGACCCCACATTCACGTGCACAGTGTTATCCCTCCTCCTGACCAGCAGACTCCAAAGACTTCCTGCTCCTCCTGCCAGGAGCTGTCCCCTCCCCAGCAGGAGCAAGCCCTCAGGTGCTCAGTTGCTTCCTCTCCAGCTTCTCCCCCAGCCACAACCAAGACTCTTCCTCTAGCACCACAGAGTCCTGCTCCTCACCTGACCTGCCTCCCTCTTCATCTAGGACCCGAAGTGTTCCTAGCGCTCATCAAGGGCTGTACCCAGAAGGAGGATCATGAGGCCCGTGTCACCCAGCACAGGGAAGGCCCTGGCCTCTCTGTCGTCTCCTACACCCGTGTGTGTCGCCACAAGAACTTTTGCAATGACCTCACCTCCACCGACCCTGTCTGGACCCTACCCACCCCTGCAGGTGCAAACGAGGAGGGAGAGGAGGAGGAGAAGACAGGAGCTAGGGGATGAGGGGAGCAGAGAAGGGCTGTTCATTTAGAACCCCTCCCTCCCATCTGGCCTGTCCACACTCCCCAGGACTACCTCCCCTGGCACAGCTTCTTCTAACAGTCCTGCGGCAGGAAACTGGACTGCTTTCTGAGTTCAACCTCACCTCAAACTCCACTGATGGCCTGAACCTGGGCAAAGCTCCATTCTCTATACTGTTGTGCTTGGCTAACTCATGTTTCCAGAAGGCATTCATGAAAATAATCAAATAGGATTTCGGTAGATCCTCTTAAAATGAAATTGGTCTATAACACTCCACTGTCCTTTTCTATATCATAAATTGTTTTTCTGGGGGTGGGGGGATCCTTTTGATTCTCTGCACTTTGGAGCATGTTGTCTACTTGGACTGTGCAGTGGAAGTGTGGGTAAAATCTACCCTGGTTCCTCCAAGGGCCCGACTCCTGTCTCAGTCACTGCTGCCTCTCCCAGATCTCATGCCCACCCCCTTGCTCTCTCAGCAACCACTGCACTGCAATTTCCAGCACCCCAGGTCTACATGAGACTGAGGAGGTTGATGATGGGGCCACAAATGCGAAAGGATAGAAGGCACCAGATCCAAATGCAGAGCCCACTCAGTCCTCCCTTCTTCCCTCTCCCCTCCCAGTCCCAGGGTCGGTGCGGTGCCCAGTCTGCTTTTCTGAGGAAAGCTGTGAATCTGCAACAGAGCTGACCTGCCCCATTGGGCACACGCACTGCTACAATGGGACCCTGCAGCTCAGGGGAGGTAAGCTGGCACATCAGGTCCCTGATAACACTGAGGGTAGGGGATGGCTGGGGCTCAGAGGAGGGTGGGCCTGGCTCCTCAGGGTTGGGTGGTCCCAGTGGTGGCATCTCATTCTTTCCCCCTCTGCCTGGCCCCTTTCCACAGTTGGCACCTTCACTGATCTGAAAGTCCAGGGATGCATGTCCCAAGCAGCCTGCAACCTGCTTAATGACACTCAGGAAATCGGGGCTTTGTCTGTGAGTGAAAAGTGTGATTCAGACGGTGAGTCCCATGTCTGGAAGGCGAGGCTGTACCCACCCTGCATCCTTAGAGTATGATGACCCTTGTAAACGTCAGACATGCAAACACATCCCACAAACTCCAACAGCCACAAATAATTTAGTTTATTACACATTTGGGCATGCAAAAAGTGAGGGATTTTCCTGGTGGGCCCTTTGGGGTGAGCATGCCAATAGAAGTGTCCAGCTGGAAGGGAGAGAGAGGATCAGGAAGCAGACATAGGACAAGTTGGTGGGCTGGCTGCTTTGCATTGTACTTTATCCACTGGGTGTGGAAGTGAGTGCAAGTGCATGCTTCTCATGCTGGGATTGATGCATTGCCTTCAATTCTATTTCTCCACACCCTTGACCTTGGCTAGCCAAAGTTCTCTTACCTCCCTCCACCCTCATCCATACCCCACGCATGGTGCTAGAGCACCCTAGCAGCACTGTCGCATATAGACTGGGAGCCTTGAGGACAGGGCCTGGATATCACTGACACCAAGGATTCTAGCCTGAGGCAACACAAGGGCTGGCTCAGGATGTGAAGTGACCTTGTACAGGACTCCAAGGTCTCTGGAGGAGACTGCAGAGAACTGAGACCCTAACCCTGCCCTAAAGGGCCTCCAGGGTGAGGAGGGAAGACATTACTGATTCAGATGGCCACAGGGCTGCAGTGAAATGGGTCTGGGGGAGATCTGAGGAGGAAGATACTAATATCCTGCAGGTGGATGTCAAGGGGGCTTCACAGAGGGAGTGACCTTAAAGATTAGCTTCAATCTATTAATAGAAGAGGAAAAGGACATTAATAGGCAGAGGAAACAGCCTGTGCAAGGCCCTGTGGTGGGAATAAACCTGCTATTTTATAGAAGGGCACCTTAGCTCTACCTAAGAAGTTCACTAAAGAGAATTGTGTGTTGCTGGAATTGAGGGTGATTGCCAGTTTTTCAGGTAGGCAAGGTAGATGTGGGTGATCTCTGCTATTCCAAGCAGAAGGAACAGTGTTGCAAGGCCAAGGATGCAGGAAATGACCTGGCGTGTCTTTGGAATGGATATTGTGGGGGAGTGAGAGGGAGGTTGGGGGGCCTGGTGGTGGGTCAAGTAGCCACAAAGCCAGACTGAGGGGTTAGTCTTTCTCCTGAGGCACAGGAGCCATGGAAGGGTGTTGAACATGGAAGAACAATCTGAGTCTCTCCTTTTGATTAGTTCTGTTTAACTGTCTGGCCCTCAGTTCTGGGAGTAGGTAACATTCATTTTCCAGAAGCTATTCCTGAAAGAAATCCAATGTAACCCTTACCACACAGCACACAATCACTCAATGCACACAACAGACATAACCACACTCATTATACCACATGCACACCACACACCACATGAGAAAAGGGAAGGTGGAAGTGACTGCGCAGTACATGCTTCTATGATGGGGCAAAGATTAAGATATAAAACCATAGAGACCAGCCAAGACCCATCACACATTGCTCTTTTAGGCAGTTGAGCCATTTCCCTACCTGGGGCCAGAAAGTGGCCAGGTGGCCAAGAGAAATGAGGAAAGTACCTTCTAAAACTACCCTGAAACAGTGTAGGAATGGGAATCCAGACCAGTGGAGCCTGGGGTCAGGAAGCCTCAGTTTTTAACTGTGGTGGGGTCTGGGAGCCTGGACAACTGGGTCAGAGGGAGGAGAGGGGCCATGACTCCTGGGTCTGAGGGAGGAAGAAGGATTCGGGCTCTGGGCCTTTAAAGTTGATGAGACTCAAAGTGTGGTCCCAGGCCTTCTTTAGCAAGGCGCTTCACTCCCCACCCTTTCCTGGCTGCCCTTGCTGAAGAGAGACATAAAAGGGCTCTCTTTCCTGGGTGAAGAGCAGGAGAAAAAGAAATCTAGCTGCCCTGACCTTGAACCCTGCTCTATTGCCAGCCCCCCTGGGTCTCACCTTCATGGAGTTTTCACTGAGAGTTAAAACTCCAACATGGGAGGGGATTTCCTGGGAGGATGGGCTAAGATGCTGTTCCCACCTCAGGAGTGCAGGCCCTGACCTGTCAGGCAGGAACACTGAGGGCCGTGAGGAAAACATCAGAACTGCCCTTGGAGTGGACAACAGGAGAGGAATTCTGCAAGGATGGCTGGGGTTGCCAAGATTCGCTGATGCTCATTGAGAATGGTGAGAAAGACCCCAAAGGCCCCAAGCCTGACCCCACCTTCACGTGCACAGGGATATCCCTCCTCCTGACCAGCAGACTCCAAAGACTCCCAGCTCCTCCTGCCAGGATCTGTCCCCTCCCCACCAGGAGCAAACCCTCAGCAGCCCAGTTGCCTCCTCTCCAGCCTCTCCCCCGGCCACAACCAAGACTCTCCCTCTAGCACCACAGAGTGCTGATCCTCACCCTGTCTGCCTCCTTCTTCATCTAGGACCCCAAGTGCTCCTAACGTTCATCAAGGGCTGTACCCAGAAGGAGGATCATGAGGCCCGTGTCACCCAGCACAGGAAAGGCCCTGGCCTCTCTGTCGTCTCCTACACCCGTGTGTGTCGCCACAAGAACCTCTGCAATGACCTCTCCACGTCCCTCCCTGTCTGGACCCTGCCCACTTCTGAAGGTGCAAACAAGGAGGAGGAGGAGGAGGAGGAGGAGGAGGAGGAGGAAGAAGAAGAAGAGGAGGAAGAGGAGGAGAAGGAGGGGAGGATAAGAGCTAGAGGAGGCAGGGAGCACAGAAGAGCTGTCCATTTAGAACCCCTCCATCCCACCAGCCAGCTCACACTCTCCAGGACTGCCTTCCCCGGCACAGCTACCTCTAACAGTCCTGGGGCAGCAAACTGGACTGCTCTTCTGAGTACAACCCCTCCTCAAATTCCAGTGATGGCCTGAACCTGAGCCAAGCTCTTTTCTCCATATTGTTGAGCTTGGCTCAATCACATTTCATTTAGGTTTGGGTATATTCTCTTAAAAAGTGAAATTGGTCTGTAGCAGTCCACTGTCATTTTCTATATCATAAGCTGTTTTGGAGGGAGCAGGAGTGCTTTGTGATTCTCTAGTCTTTGGAGCATGTTGTCTACTTGGACTTTGCAGTGGAAGTCATGGGTAAAATCTACCCTGGTTCCTCCAAGGGCCCAACTCCTGTCTCAGTCACCGCTGCCTCTCCCAGATCTCATGCCCACCCCCTGGCTCTCTCAGCAACCACTCCAATTTCCAGCACCCCAGGTCTACATGAGACTGAGGAGGTTGATGATGGGGCCACAAATGCGAAAAGGATAGAAGGCACCATATCCAAATACAGAGCCCACTCAGTCTTCCCTTCTTCCTTCTCCCCTCCCAGTGCCAGGGTCAGTGCGGTGCCCAGTCTGCTTTTCTGAGGAAGGCTGTAAATCCGCAACAGAGCTGACCTGCCCCGTTGGGAACACACACTGCTACAATGGGGTCCTGCAGCTCAGGGGAGGTAAGCTGTGACATCGGGGTCCGTGCAGGCACTGAGGGTAGGGGAGGGCTGGGGCTCAGAGGAGAGTGGGCCTGGCTCCTCAGGGTTGGAAGGCCCCGGTGGTGGCACCTCACGCTCTCCTACTCTGCCTGGCCCCTTTCCACAGTTGGAACCTTCACTGATCTGAAAGTCCAGGGGTGCATGTCCCAAGCAGCCTGCAACCTGCTGAATAACACTCAGGAAATCGGGGCCTTGTCTGTGAGTGAAAAGTGTAATTCTGATGGTGAGTCCCATGTCTGGAAGATGAGACTGTACCCACCCTTCAGCCTTGGGGTACGATGATCCTTGTGAATGTCAGACATAAAAACACATCACACAAACTCCAACAGCCACAAATAATTTAGAAGTTTATTACACATTTGGGCATGCAGACAGTGAGGTATTGACCTGGTAGGGTCTTTGGGGTGAGCACGCCAATAGAAGTGTCCAGCTGAAGGGAAAGACAGGCCAGGGTACACACATCAGGCAGGGTGGAGGGGCTGGCAGCTTTGCATTGCACTTTATCCACTGGGTGTGGAAGTGAGTGCAAGTGCATTCCTCTCATGCTGGGAGTGATGCATTTCCTTTAATTCTCTTTCTCCACACTCTTGACATTGCCTAGCCCTAGTTACATCTCCTCCTCTGCACCCACATCCATCCTCCACAATGGTGCTAGAGCACCCTAGCAGCCCTGCTGCATAGGAAGGAGTGTCAGAGAGAAAATCGAGGGTGCTTCAGGTGTGATAGGGTCAGCAAGAGACAAGCAGGGACACTGGGAGGGTCCCCACTCACCCACACAAGCCCAGCCCTTACCAACACACCCGACTGAGACTGAGAATGAGACTGGCCTGGAGTATCTCAATGAGAAGCACCAATGGCAGGGAGGAGAGTGGGAAGAGGGCATTCCCTCTCTGAGACAGTTTCCTCATCCACTCACGGCACCCAGTCCTTAAAGCCTCAAGGTGAAAGTCCAGTGAATGCAGCAACATCCTCTGTGTGCTTGGATCTCTCTGACTAGACTGGGAGCCTTGAAGACAGGGCCTGGATGTCACTGACACCAAGGTTTCTAGCCTGAGGCAACACAAGGGCTGGCTCAGGATGGGAAGTGAGCATGTACAGGCCTCCAAGGTCTCTGGTGGAGACTGCAGAGGACTGAGACCCTAACCCTGCCCTAAAGGGCCTCCACGATGAGGAGGGGAGACAGTACTGATGCAGATGGTCACAGGGGAGCTCTGAGGAGGAAGATATTAATGATTTGTGGGTGGGGTATCAAGGAGGGATTCACAAAGGAGGTTACTTAAAAATTAGCTTCAATCTATTAATAGAAAAGGAAAAGGACATTAATAGGCAGAGGAAACAGCATGTGCAAAGGCCCTGCAGAGGGAATAAACCTGCTATTTTCAATAAGGACTCCTTGGCTGTATCTAAGAAGGTCAAATAAAGAGTTTGGGGTGTAGTTGGAACTGGGAGTATTTGCCAGCTTTTCAGGTAGACAAGGTGGATGTGGGTGACCTCTGCTATTCCAAGCAAAAGGAACAGTGTTGCAAGGCCAAGGAGTCAGGATATGACCTGGGGTGGCTTTGGAATAGATACTGGGGGAGAGTGAAGTGGGAGTTTGGGGGGCCTGGTGGTGGGTCAAGTAGCCACAAAGCCAGACTGAGGGGTTAGTCTTTCTCCTGAGGCACAGGAGCCATGGAAGGGTGTTGAACATGGAAGAACAGTCTGAGTCTCTCCTTTTGATTAGTTCTGTTTAATTGTCTGGCCCTCATCTCTGGGACTAAGTAATATTCATTTTCCAGAAAACATTCCCAAAAATAATCAAATGTAACCCATACCACACAGACACAGAACACAATACACACAACAGCCATAAGCTCACTCACAGTACTATATGCACACCACACACCACATGAGAAAAGAGAAGTAGGCATCTGTGGTGGGGCAGAGGTTAGCCTAAAATAAAACATAGGAACCAGCCAAGACACATCACATAATGTCCTCTCAGGCAGTTGAGCCATTTCCCCACCTGGGGCCAGAAGGTGGCCAGGTTTCCAGGACAAATGAGGAAACTACCTTCACAAACTACTCTGAAACAGTGTGGGGGTGGATCCAGACCAATGGAGGCTGGAGTCAGGATGCCTCAGTTTTTAACTGTAGAGGGGTCTCGGCGCCTGGACAACTGGGTCAGAGGGAGGAGAGGGGCCTTGACTCCTGGGTCTGAGGGAGAAGGAAGAACTCGGCTTTCTGGCCTTTAAAGTTGGTGAGACTCAGAGTGTAGGCCCAGGCCTTCTTTAGCAAGGCCCTCTACTCACCACCCTTTCCGGGCTGCCCTGGGTGAAGAGAGATATAAAAGGGCTCCCTTTCCTGGGGGAAGAGCAGGAGCAAGAGAATTCTAGCTGCCTGACCATGAGCTTCATACTGCTGCCAGCCCTCCTAGGCCTCACCCTCATGCTGCCCCATGAGTGAAAACCCAACTTGGGAAGGGATTTCCCAGGAGGATGGGCTAAGCTGGATTTGCTGTCCCCACCTCAGGAGTAGAGGCCCTGACCTGTCATTCTGGAACTATCACGACTGTGAGGAAAACATCAGAACTGCCCTTGAGGTGGACTTTTGAGGAGGAGACCTGCAAGGAAGGCTGGGGTTGCCAAGATTCGCTGATGCTCATTGAGAATGGTGAGAAAGGCCCATAGGTCTCAAGCCTGACCCCACCTTCACCTGCACAGGGATATCCCTCCTCTTGACCCTCAGACTCAAAAGACTCCCTCCCCTCTTGCCAGGACCTATCCCCTCCCCAGCAGGAGCAATCCCTAGGGTGCCCAGTTGCCTCCTCTCCAGCCTCTCCCCCAGCCACAACCAAGACTAGCCCTCTTGCACTGCTGAGTCCTGATCCTAACCTGACCTGACTCCTTCTTCATCTAGGACCCAAAGTGTTCCTAGCACTCAGCAAGGGCTGTACCCAGAAGGTGGATCATGAGGCCCGTATCACCCAGCACAGGGAAGGCCCTGGCCTCTCTGTCGTTTCCTACACCCGTGTGTGTCGCCACAAGAACTTCTGCAATGATCTCTCTTCCACCCGCCCTGTCTGGACCCTGCCCCCCTCTGCAGGTGAGAACAAGGTGGGAGAGGAGGAGGAAGAGAGGACAGGAGCTAGGGGAGGATGGGAGAACAGAGGGGTTGTTCATTTAGAATCCCCCCCTCCCACCTGCCTGTCCACACTCACCAGGCATGCCTTCCTGGCAAAGCTTCTTCTAACAGTCCTAGGGCAGGAAACTGGACTGCTCTTCTGAATACAACCCTTCCTCAAATTCCAGTGATGGCCTGAAATTGGGCAAAGCTCCTTTCTCTATACTCTTGAGCTTGGCTCACTGATGTTTCATTTAGGTTTTAGGTATATCCTCTTAAGGTGAAATTGGCCTGTAGCTCTCCACTGTCATTTTCTATATCATAAGCTGTTGTGGAGGGAGCGGGGGTGCTTTGTGATTCTCTACTCTATGGAGCATGTTGTCTACTTGGACTGTGCAGGGGAAGTTGTGCATGAAAGCTACCCTGGTTCCTCCAAGGGACCCCTTCCTGTCTCAGTCACTGCTGACTCTCCCAGATCTCATGCCCCGCGCCCCTTGCTCTCTCAGCAACCACTCCAATTTCCAGCACCCCAGGTCTACATGAGACTGAGGAGGTTGATGATGGGGCCACAAATGCGAAGAGGATAGAAGGCACCAGATCCAAAGCAGAGCCCACTCAGTCCTCCCTTCTTCCCTCTCCCCTCCCAGTCCCAGGGTCCATGCGGTGCCCAGTCTGCTTTGCTGAGGATGGCTGTAAGTCTGCAACAGAGCTGACCTGCCCCGTTGGGCACACACACTGCTACAATGGGGTCCTGCAGCTCAGGGGAGGTAAGTTGGTTCATCAGGGTCCCTGCCAGTCCTGAGGTAGCTGAGGGCTGGGGCTCAGAGGAGAGTGAGCCTGGCTCCTCAGGGTTGGATGGTCCTAGTGATGGCATCTCACGCTCTCCCACTCTGCCTGGCCCCTTCCCACAGTTGGCATCCTCACCGATCTGAAAGTCCAGGGATGCATGTCCCAAGCAGCCTGCAACCTGCTTAATGAGACTCAGGAAATCGGGGCCTTGTCTGTGAGTGAAAAGTGTGATTCTGTCGGAGTCCCACGTCCGGATGGAAAAGCTGTCCCCAACCTGCAGTCTTCGGGTATGGTGACCCTTCTGAAAGTCAGACATTCAAACACATCCCACAAACACCAACAGCCACAAATAAGTTAGAAGTTTATTACTCATTCAGTCATGCACAAACTGAGGGATTGTCCTGGTAGCTGCCATGGAGTGAGCATGCCAGTAAGTGGGTCCAGCTGAAGTGGAGATAGAGGGCCAGGGGTCAGATATAGGACAGGGTGGGTGGGCTGGCTGTGTTCCTTTCACTTTATCCATTGGGTGTGGAAGTGAGTGCAAGTGCATACCCCTCATGCTGGGAGTGATTCATTGCTTTTAATTCTCTTTCTCCACACTCTTGACATTGGGTAGCCCTAGTTCCCTCTCCTCTGCACGCACATCCATCTTTCACCCGTGGCACTAGAAAACCCTAGCAGACCTGCTGCATTT